TAAGTTAAAAGCGAATCGCTGAACCTTTTGCTTCCAGACGTTTAATTTGTTGAAAGTCTATTCGACTTAGTGCAAATAGTTTTCTGGCTGTTCGTTTCGATTTGTGGTATTCAGTACAATTTGTTTAAGTTCAATTCACTTCAGTCTGTGACATTTGAAATAAACTGAACAAATAATGAACGAAGTTTTTTTAGCCATCTATGCAGTATTTACCTGGAGATTGCAGTTTCCTTCATAGACGGTGAGTTGACGCATTGTGCGGATGGTTCTTTCTCTAAGCAGTTACTTCCTAGATGTACTGTGTATCTTTCGATTATTTCACTTGTCTCCAACGCATCTTCAGGGCTGGAATTGATTTCGCGTGTTAGAGTAATATGCTGTCAAGAGTACAACCTGGATTGGACGCTGAAAGCTTAAATTGTTATCTCCTGAGTGCTAAACATGGATTTCTATAGAAGGAAACAGAAAGAAATAGCGGAACATTGTAGTGATATATGTGTATTATTCATGCTATCGCAGCAGCATTTCACAGTTTTCAATTAAAACGATGGCTTTAAATATGATGTTTCATGGTACAGCCATGATGCCTATGAATTAAGTGATACTTGTTATTCATAATGAAACGAAAAACTCTTTCCAAGCGAACGGCTNTTTCACTTTATTAAATAAGTTTATAAAGTGAGTATTTCTAACCGACAATTCCTTGTAACTTTGTCGGAATTTGAGAAGCAATGTGCCGCAGTTATGACGTGCCTTGCTGAGATCAACGTTCCAGAGCAAACGAACTCTTCAATCGTTTCATCTCTTAGTGCTTATCATGAATGCATTAATGCAGTGGTTCATTCGTCCTTACTGAATGTTGTCGACGATGATCACCATTCAATGAAATGAGAGCAATACGAAATTCGATTACCTTCTCTTTCATAGATCGCCACTGCCCAAGGCATCATGCCCCATTCCACGTTATTACCTCCCATCATTTTGTGTCCGCGGTCCGAAGACATGAATCCACTGGCAGAGAAAGATGAATTAATCAACGGTTTTCCACATTTTTCTGGATCTGTAATTTCGCTATAAACGCCTCCATTCAATATTGCTCTCGATAAAAGTTTTGAGGATAAGTTCGAGGATTGCTTTGATACACTCATTATGTGTGCCAAAGAACATGTTAAACAAACCATAGTATTGATGGAATGTTCCTTCAATACCTGAAAATATTCACTAATTTAATGGCTGAAGCCATCCGAAAATGTCAGGTGATGAAGATAAGCAAATGATTCATTCCTTTAATTCATAGACAACAATGAAAATTTCTCATTAAGAATTCTGATAAATTTGAAGTCATATTTCAGAGAAATGAAACTGAACCATTTGAAAAGATAACAGCACATATGAACAAGACACTTCTCATTTTGGCGTTGCATGAAATCACCTTTTGAATAGAATGAAGCTAACAATTCAGTTTTTATCAGTTGCCGTTAATGATGGATGGCGAATGCACAAAATGAATCGGTGTATCAGAAAAGCAGACAGATTTGTGTTCGTGATGATGAATTAATGCAGCGATCACTTCGGAATATAGCATGAGCACTCTCAGCAATTTCGCATTCCTCACTTCTTTGACATTTTCAAGATTTGTGCTAATTCGATCGGTGTTTTGATGCGATGCTCAATGAGATCGCACCTTAAATTCGAATGCTTTGCAGATTCATCGAATACCGAAGCATGTAGTTGTGCAGCTGGCTGCTGCTAGTCTGTATGAAATCACTTCTTTTGATCAGATATCATAAAGGCCACATTCAATAACGGTTTATGAAGTGCGTAAATGAAGAGTTTTTGACTAAAGAACAGTGCAAAGGAGAAGCACGTGTTAGTTTTTGAGTATTATGTTGAGCATTCGATTCATCACATGATTAAACATCTACTTAATGACGTAGTTCACTGTCGGCTTTGTAACGATGCGTTTTGAATGACCGAAATGGAGTTGCGAATTGATAACGCTTCCGTTCTGAATGCAGTAATTTGAATAATTTTCAACTGGAAATCTTATTTTCAATTTCAGTTTTCAATTTAGTTTCAACAATTTCAAAAACTTTTTGAGTAAACAGTTCACATGACCGCTACGGCAATCAACATCAATATCAAGCTTTGTTTGTCGCTCCTTTCAGTAGGTATTCTCCGTAAACGTTTTCTAATCAAAATATCACA